TCCCGACCATCAGGTTAAAGCCCTAGTAAAATGGTACCCACACCACTTCCCGAGGCTCACCAAGTCAGGCCAGGGTTAAGGAGCGCTCCAGTGAAGGCGCTCTGCCCCGTGTACTGAAAAAAAATGACTTTGGGACGAGTGCCTGTGAACCCAGACATCAGTCCCTCCTCGTGCTGTACGAGGCCTCCAAGGACCCTCACACCAGGTCACCGACATGTTTCAACAACCATTTCTTACAGCCGGAAGCAGAGCAGGAAGGCAGTGTACAAGGGAGATGTGCACATAACGCAGCCACATGTAGTAAGATCTGGAGGTATCTAAAACACAGGGCAGCTTGACAAGGTCAGCCTTCAACGTAAACTCTGTCGTTGTGGCAATCTGCTTCCCCCAATAACCCTACATTCAGGCCACGCAGGAGGGTTAAGAGACTTCTGCAGTGCTACACGGAAGAGTAGAAGAAAGCTGTAGACAGCTCCCTCCGCAATCTTTCTACACACAGGGAGTGAGTTCCTACATCGTATTATACCCACTCCCGACAAACTATAAGACAGAATCAAAGGTATGCCATCACCGGCTGCCAAGAGAGCATTTTAATCTCCCCAGAGACCAGAATAAAATGCTATTAATGGTTTAAATTGGCATTTAATGATGTTAGACAAACCAACCCACCACCGGGTGTCCTCCAGGTTTATACTCTTGTCTACGGAGCTGCAGTCTCTGCTGCGCATGGGCTGTCGGCCACAACAGTAAGGCCTCTGAAGACCAAGCAGGAGAAGGCCTCCAGGTCAGGCAGAAGTGATCATGTTAGAAATCACGATGTGTCGATGTGGAAAATGTGACAGATCTCTTCATCACAGCTGCTAAGAAAACAGTTCTCAATTCCACTCATCGGCAGATAAGCCAGAAAGAATTAACGGTACTTGGAGAAAACCAAGGAGGGTGTGCTTTAACCAAGGGAGGCACAGTCGCTGAATGCAAGGCGTCATCCAATTTGTGGGAGTCATGTTTCCCTTTGTTGGAAGTGACAGGCTACACTCTATGGTCAATATGGATGAGATGCTGAAATACCATCTAACCAGGATTACACATTGCTCATCTGCAGGACCCTGACGGACCAAACGAGGACCATTTCCTGCTTTTCTGGTAACATGCATTCTTGAAAGCCCAAGACAGTTTTCCAGTCATAGACACCTATACACAAAGTTGTCTTAACTGAAGAATTTTTGAAATCTACACAAAGGGAATTTTAAAGAGTTGAGACTAGCATTTTCAATTACTGCTTATAGACATACTTCACAATAGTGTGTTTCGCTGAGCTTGTTTCATTTCGACCAAAACAGTAATCAAAACAGCTTAAGCCAAAGCGACTTCCACTACTGCTTTAACATTTAATGCCAGTTTGGAGTCACGTGCACTGTATGCACTCAACGAGCAACAATTTGTATTGTTTACTGATGCACAGAAGAGAAATGTAATCAATTTATATTGCGTATATTAGTGTGCTTTCTGCAGTGATAGTATAAATCATGCCTACTGCTTCAGGGGGTGTTGTTGCACTTCTGTACATAGTGTTGTAGAAAGATGCTGAAATTGCTAGACAAAGCACAGCTGAAACCAAGAACAAGGGGATACACGAGATACAGAGATTGCATATTCTTCTCTAACGCCCAAGAAGAAGTCGTCTAAGGACAAGCTAACGTTAAAAAATGAACAATCAGAAAAAAGACAACTGATTAAAAAGAGAGGAAAACAAAACAAAACACAGCATGGGTTAGCCCATTTCTTTTTCCACAGCTAGCAGAAGAGGCAGCAAGCGCAATACTGAACTAAATGGCCAGAACAGACATGAGCTGCCAACAGTCAAAACAGGGAAGACAAACTGCATGCAGGTATTTACAGGGTTAGTCTTTACGCACTTCAACAACATTCATCTATACAATGTCATGCCAAAAGAGCCTTGCAGAACCGAACAGAACAGCTGCAAAAAAGCAACAGATCTCAGCAGTTTTGAGAGGGAGAACATGAAGGATTTCACCCCACGGTGAGATTACATTAAGGCAATGCAAACATAACTGCATCTGACTACAATGCAAAAATCCAGCTTTAGCATTAAATCGTTTCCCTGAAGGATGCTCCACACCTTAAGCACAATTATCCCCAATAAAAATAAAAAACAAACTTGCATCTACATGGATAAAGCACGATACAATTCAGGAAAAGAAGGTTTGGTTTTAAAAGCTCCTTCTCCTTCTACAGCAACTGTCATGTATTTATCAAACTAGCCACTGTGTCATTTTAAGGCTCTGACAGATTTATACAGCTGTTAAGAAAGAGGACTTTGATTTATTTCAGAGTCTTAGCCTGGAATATTGCTTACTTGGTAAGAACAGAAACATCAATCAATAAAAATAAATATTAAAAAAGCTTGCTTCTGAAGTCTTCAAACACAAACTATATGCTTATATGACAGATTAAAGTTTTCGCACAACTTCAGATACGAATAGACAGCTTTCCTCCGCGATTAGAAAAGGTCAGCTTAGAGCTTTCCACTATTATGTTTCCTTCTTTTAAAGATGTGGAGAAAATAGTTTGAGATAGAAAGAAACATGCTCCAAATTACTGTTTAATCTACTGCACTGCATGCATAGGAATGACTGCATGTAAATCAACTCAGGTCAGGAATTACACAGATTTAAAAGATTTATGCTATAATGTATGTTCTTGCTTTAGCCTTCTATCTGCTTCTCAAAGCCAGAATATTTGGGCCCTGAGAACTATTTCCAAGCCATCTTCTTCCAAAACACTTTGAATTCGTTTTATTTTAACATCTCCTCCCATCATCACCTGTCTTGTCCCATTTAATTGTTCTTCAAATTGGAATAAAAAAAAAGGCTCAAGCCCTTCAAGCGACACAATCTCTCAGCAGCACAGGATTTCCACTTGCCAGTTTCATTATTTGCTGTTTCACACAGTGAGAAAAATACACTTGTTTGGGGAAAATGTCTGGTTCTGTATGCTAATGCTGTAATATTCTACTAAGCGTAAGAAAAAAGAATCTCTAATATTCATCATGACAAAGCTAATACTTCAATTGCTTTTATAACATGTAAGTGATGCATTCTCCTCCTAGCATCTGGTCTGCACACTAATGAAGCCAATGGGAGTTTGTGTCATTGGCAATAATGGGGCCAAACTCAGGTGCCATTAGTGAAAAGTGGTATTTGTCTTTCATCTCTGTAGCTAATGCGCAGACAGTCTTAAAAAGCACATAACACTGATTTAGATTGCTTCACCTTTATATAAATCACAGGCACAAAAGTAAGGAGACAAACAGCTTTAAATCAAAGAACTTGCATCCCTCTGCCTCTTGGTAGAATTATTTTTGAGGAACCTAGACTGCAAATAATAATGGAAGAAAAAAATGGATTAATTTGTAGAGAGTGGACTTCTGGGATACTACCTAACAACATAGTCATTCTTTTTGGAAATATTGTTGAACTGAATCAGACTACCACAATTTTACAGGAATAACAAAAGTTTATGCTGAAAAGATCTGAATGTGCAGCCCTTAAAATTTTACCGAGTTACTGGATATATTACTGTGGAGACTACTGGTTTTCCCTGCACACTCTCTTTTCTTCAAACCAGGGCTGCACCAACACAAACATTGCAAAGGCTTTCAGTTATTGCAACAAGAACTATTGTTCTGAAACAAGGACCTCAAGAAATTCTTCCATAAGATTAATATACAATAGAGTATAATATTTCAGCAGAATACTCATCGGGTAGTTTTGTGTATGTGTATCATTCAGGGAGCCTCATCAGAATAAGTAAAAGTTATATGAAAGATGATAAAACAAGTACGAAAAACAAAAAGGAAGAAAATTAAGCAGAAATATCTTTAGAGGAAAGAATTTCAGAGTGCTTTGAAAAACCTGGTTTAAAAAAAATCTTAAAAGCATTAATGGAAATTTTTCAAAAACAAAACAACAAGTCAGATCAAATTTTGTTATTACTACTAAATGCTTTTTCAATGCTGCCTAGAAACCCAGTTATAGATCAGAGATGCATCATGGCAGACACTGAGCAAAAAAAACCCACAGAAAACCCTAATCCTCCCCTGACACACACACACACACACACACAGAGACACACACATATACACACAAAAACAATCAAAGCAAAAACTTGCCCCACAGCCTGTTTTCATCATTCTAAAACTGAACTTGAGCTTTCCAAACATTTAGGGGCCTAAAGGAATGAATTAATACCTAATCTTGATGGAAAATATCAACATAAAATTCCATCATCTCTTTTGATTCCGTTTTGATTGTTTTATTTTCTGTTCACTAGATAAAACAATAAAAAATTCTATTTGATGTACAAGATCTCATTGTGCATCATAAAAAGAACAAATAACTCCAATCTTTATTGTGGCCATATGTATATAGTTTGTCTTAAATCCCCAGTTTTAAGATGGTTTTCTTGTAAGTGGAGCTATGTTCCAGCACAAAGCTCTGCTCAAGTCAACGCAGAAAGAGATTCTAAACACATCCAAGCTGGATGGTGACTTAGCAAGCAAAAGGCATTGGGTTTTTTTCCAATTATTTAGACTGATCAAACCCATTCTTAACAGTTAATAGAGACATTACTCTCAGTTGTAAAGACAACAGCTTTTTTTTCCAGCACTTCAAATAATTAAAAACAAGCAAAGAGTGATTCCTCAATGACATGCACTTCTCGAGAAACACGAAGCCCTGTACTTCTGTGGGAAATTTCTGGGGATTCTAATAAATATAAGAGTCTCTAGAAATGAAATTTTTACCCCGTTCTATAGAATAACGGTATAAGCCTTTTATGTTTTACAGGATCAGCCACTTAGCCAAACGCTTATTGCGTTTATAGAATTTCAGAGGGATCATTTTTTGCCTTAGATTCCATCCATCCAGGTTATCAAGAAGCTCGATCAATCTTGAACATGATTTACTCATGCAACATACCTGGAAAACTGTTCTTGCAGCCCACGCATCTGAGCTCTGCTACGCTCTGACTCCAGCGTTACCTCCCGCAATCTTTTTTCACTCTCAAGTCTTAAATGTCTTTCTTCCTCCAACTCATGTATCAGCTTCTCACGCTGAAAGATCATAAAAAATATTCATTAATTGCAGATGTAAAATATCCTTTTAGGAAAAATTTTATATTAAGTTTGGGAAAAATCATCAAGCAATCAAAATAATTACCCCAGCTACTCAGTCCCATCATTTTTATATGGCAATACTACATAGAATAATACACTCGAGACGGAAAGTCTTTCATTCTTCTCACCTGATAATGCAGAATTATCCCCTACAAGTAAACATGTTTACTCCAAGCCAAAGAACCTCTCCTTTTTCTACAGCTTAATAATCCATGCAAACATAATACAGTGAAAAAATTCTAGTTTTCTCCCTCTCGTTTTTCCTCTTCAGCTTATTAACACTATTGCAGATTACTGCAAAAAAACCCAGCAGATTTTGATTTGGTGGGGTCTCAACCTGTAGCGTGACAGATTGCTATAAAATATCCTCATTACCCTGAGCGTCTCTGATTTGGCTCAGACTCACTGAAATCAGCCTAACAGCTATTTAGAAACAAACAACAGTCCCCTTCTTCATAAACTCTCTTTTTACCTTCACCTCTACTCAAAATAACTTCCAGAAGTCATATTTGAGGCGCAAGCAATTTTAATGTTTCTTGATACACTAGGAGCCTGTAACAGGTCAATTTTTATTATTCAGGAGGACAACTTATCACATATCTCTTAATGGCTCAGTCTCACGGCCAGACAAGGCCATGACTCCGCAGCCGCCGGTTTTCTGCTTTTGGCTGGAGGGCAGGATTCCCCTCAGCAGGGCAGAGTCCGTTCACTGGAATACTATGACGAAGAATATGGGTCTAAAAATGGGGTACTTGCAAGTACATGCAAGAGAAATTAAAATTATCGAATATGGCTTTCATTAATTCAGGAAACATAGGACTAAAACACCCCACCCACAACATACTTGTGCTGCCTAGGTAAATCAACACGTGTCATGGGCTAAACTTTAGCGGTTCTTTTACCTTAGTTCCAAATACTAAAACATCATATGAAAGTGTAAATAGTGATAGCAAAACCCTATTTTAAAGTAGTTACATGTGATTTAGGAGGAGTAAGAGGAAGAACTGAAAACTTACAAAATATGCTACTGGAGTAAAATAATATGGCCTTTTCCATGCGGCTTTTACACAGAAATTAAATGATATTTTTCCTTGTGCATTTACATGAGCTAACAAAAAAAAAAAATTAAAGAAAAGGCAATTAATTTAGTACTACATTATATCCCCCCCAGTGAAGGGTGTTCCAGTGTCAGTTGACTAAAAAAAAGGCTAAATCATTGTAAAATTACACCAGGTACAGCATCTATACACTTTGAAAAATCTCTGCGCACATGCGATTTGTAGGCTGTCGGATGTAGTTCTGTTGCTGACCTAAATTTTTATGACATATCAGCAAAAATGCATCTAGAAATTATATATATATATAGTTTCATTAGAAAATAACAACGCTTTCTTAGTGTTAAGCCATTCAATGGGGGAGACAGATTATTTGTACATGTCCCACAGCTATAAATCTTACTGGATAATAATTTATAATAGCAGTAACAACGGGACCAAAAATATGAACATTACCAAGTAGAAAAGGGACCTTAAAGACAGTGATAAATAAGCAGATGTCAGAAAGGGAGGCTGCAAAGGATTAAATGAAATATCTATTCACTTGTGGAAAGATATGAAGACTACTCAGAGAATGGAGGGCTTCTGTCTGGCTGGTCATGCAAAATATCTGGAAAAGAGAAAATTTCAAAACAAGAAATCACAGACTCACAGAACGGCTGAGGTTGGAAGGCACCTCTGGAGACCATCTAGTCCAACCCCCCTGCTCAAGCGCGGTCATCTGGAGCACATTGCCCAGGATTGTGTCCACATGGCTTTTGAATATCTCCAAGCAAGGAGACTCCACAACCTCTCTGGGCAACCTGTTCCAGAACTCAGTCTCCCCCACAGGAAAGAAGCTTTTTCTCATGTTCAGTTGGACCTTCCTGTGTTTCAGTTTGTGGCCGTTGCCTCTCGTCCTGTCGCTGGGCACCACGGCGAAGAGTCTGGCCCCATCCTCTTGACACCTTCCCTTCAGATACCTGTCTGAAGGTTTGCTTTCACTGATATGGCCTTACAGAACAACTGTGCTCTAGCCGTGCGTGTGGCCGTGCTGCCAGTAATCACCAAACCGGGCTTTCTGGTAGGGCACGGAATATATAGAAGAGATTCAGGGATCCAAACGTTCCCCTGAGGTTAACAAGGAGCTGTATAAGCTACTTCTAGTTTCATATAAGCTACTTCTAGTTTCATTCACCTCTTGCAGGTGGGTCACAGAGTGCTGTTGCTGCCATTTATTCCTTACACGTACGTGTGGAAGTCCGTATTACTGCCCTACACAGGAAGATCAGCACATCCACACGGTTTATTTAGATGTTTATTTTAAGTGAGAAGAGGAGAGGATCTAAGAGTTACCTTAAAAAAACCAAACAAATAAAACAAAAAAAAACGCACAACCAATTCGCATTACAAGAGCAGTAAGCTTAGAGAAATCAAGTGCTTAAACATTACGAACTTCTGGAATGAGGTATGCAGCCAGCCGACATTCAGCCATCTCACGGGCAAGCAGCACGACAGAGTACTAGCTTATGCTTCTTTCAGGGTATGGGATGACCAAAGAACAAGTCACAAGGCTGCAAGAACAGAAACAAAAGCACCAACCTATGGCCCAGAAATTCTGGTTCGCTTCCCAGCGAGCAGAAATTTCCCATACAAACGGGGAGACTGCCCACAAGTACTGTTTGAAATGCATCAAAATGTTTTAACACCAGAAAAATCACTGCTATTTTCTAATGAAGTTATATGAATTCACTCTTGTATATTCTTCTTCAATTGCAATTTCTTCTCTCCATGGACTCTGCTCAGGCCCACGCAGCCACAGCCTTCGCCTCGTAGCCTCTCCTTTTGCCTCGAGAGATCAATCCATTTTCAACCCTCCTAACACCGGAAGGCCTCTCCAGACAGAGACCCCAACACATTCCCCTGCCAAACCTCTGCTGACTTTCCACATAGGCAAAAATTTCGCATGAACAAACTAGAGTGAAAGGTGGAGTGAACAAACTCCACCAGTACTTCCCTGGGCTTACTGGAATGTTTTCAACCCTTGAACAAATACTGTTTGCAATTACTTTTTCATGAACATTTCACAATCGAGTTTCACTGGCTACGCAATATGCTCACAAGCAAGTGTTTGCACCTCAGCGACTTCCCGTTTTGGTAGATATATAAATATTCACAGCCAAGTGTTTCATTTCTCCCTCAGCCAGGATAGATGCCACGCATTAACTTATCTTCTCAAAGTTGAGCAAGAGACCCAATTTGAGATATTCACGATCAAAGCAAAACGCATGAAAACTCTCTCTGGCTACACTGAAAACAGTGAATGCATTTGAGAGAAGATTCAGAACTGCTCTTCAGCATCCCATGAAGAGACCGAGAAACAAAATTTATTCTCAGAGTAAGCGGTTCACAGTTATGCCCTTAGTCTGATTAAGGGCTGATCCAACACAGCAATGTGATGAGTGTCTCCTAAGAGGTGCTAAACTTCTTCTGTCTCCTTTAACTCACCGGGGGTGACTGGTAAATGACAGAGCCCGGGTCTTTCACGTTACACTGAATCGCAAATGTCTCCTCGACCGAGTTCTTAAATGACCCCCAACTTTAGGATACCCAGTAGAAAATTCAGAAGCAATGAAAAAAAGTACAGACCACGTGGGTGGCAGGCAAAAAAGGCATATATCAAATAAAGGAAATGGAAGCGCACAATGCTACGGGGGTAGAGTGCTACACCATGTTCTTCAGTTCTTCATCTCTTGCGAGAGATCTGTACCTACCATGCAATGGGAAAATGTCGCGCTTTAAGGAACAGCGACCTTCTCTACCTATTTTTCCTTTCTGGACTACCTCACTGTCAATTTTAAATACAGACACACTATCTACCTGGACGACACTCAAATCTTCATATCCCGAGACTTGCAGTTTAACTCTTTTAGCTGTCATTACAACACACATTAAAATTGGTTTGTTGACAGGTCATTCCTCCTTGCTTCTCCATCTAATAAGATTTTCCCTTCCCCCACACTAATGAGCCACCTTAATAGTCTTATTAAAAAAAAAAAAGTCAGTAGGCCAAAGTATTTTATTCTTAACTTGTCAATCGATCTTTCACATAAAAATCATACTACTCCACTGATCAAGAATATCATATGTTAAACAAAAATGTGGCTCTGTGTCAAGATTTAAATCTACAGGCAATTGCAAGTGAAAAATCCAAGGGATTCACTACCCACGCTATACAGGTTGTTGCTATCCAAAAGGCAGCCAGCCTGACAACTACAGGAAAACTGGTCCATCCCTCTTCTGTTTAGCTTATGCCTGAGCCTTGTGAAAAAGCAAGTCTTTATATATAGTTAGGTGCAATAGATATGCTTAGTTCAAGTAAAATGTCCTAAAAGGGACACAGATGTAATTTCCTTCCATATTTAAAGTTACTTTATAAGTGCTGAAAAGGGCTACTGTTTAAACATAGACAAGATTCTTCTTTATTGTGAAATGTGTTTGTCCCATTGGGGACAACGCGTTTACTATGGTACTACTAATTAGACCGATATGGGAGAGCTATTTTGTCAGCAAAAGTCTACATAAGAATATTTAACACAGGTTTAATGTTGTTCGAAATCAGGCTGTTAACCTTCACATTCATTTTTTAACAGGTGGTTTTAAGCATTTGCCAAAGAGGGTCACAATTTCTGTGCACTTAATACTGATTTCCAACAGATACTTTGTATTGGTTTTAAATGAGGGGAAGAAAATAATACAAAACTTTCTGTCTACAGTGGGAAGCACTGTTAAGTCATTGCTAACCTAAATTGAGTATTTATGTAAGATCTCACTCAATTTCTGTTGCTATACATCTGACAACTCTCCACAAAAATCATTCTGTAATAGAAACTTTACTGATCT